CTTTTTTTTTAAACGTTAAAAAATAATAGTTCATTTTTTTTAAATTTCTTTCTAAAAATATTATTCTAACTCTTAATATTTTTCTGATAACAAGGTATGCTGGGTCGAGTTCAAACTAATCTCAGGTCTGGGAGCAAGTCATGTGATTAGAATATGCAGTCTTCTCCCCAACTTGAAGTCCGGAGTCGGGATCAGATAGACGCTTTGCATCCCTTTCACCAGTTGAGCTTATCAAAAATATAAATATAGACGTTATTAACAATCATTTTTGGAAAATAAAAAATACTACTACCTCAATATTTTTAAAAACTATTTATTATTTTGATTTAAGATATGAATTATAAAAATATAATATATTTAATTTTAAACTAATAATATTTTTTAAAAAAATTTTGTTGTTCGCGCAATTCGCGCGGGGTTAAAACCTAGTATTCTATAATTTTGGAGTATGGATTTTATGATGATTTTTCCAAATGCTTTTAATACATCCTTTCCTCTGTAAATATGTCAAGATTATTTTTCCTTTTATTATATAAAAAGTTTAAACTAAAATTTTAACCAATATGATTTTGGGTTGAACAGTAAGATAAAAATAAAAATATCTAATATATTTATAAAATCGATTATCATTTTCTCACTCCCGAAGAAAAAATGAAATAAAAGTGTTATTTACAAAAATTAAATAAATAGTGTAGGAATTAAACGGAAATTGAACCATACCTATTACAATTATTGTAGCATGAACTTCTTATGATATAATTGATCTCTCTGTATATTGCAAACGCCATCGTCGTTAAGAAAATCCTACAAATATGAAGAGAAATTGAATTAGGAAAATAAATTAAAAAAATTATTATACCTTACCTAATCAAATATTTAAAAAAAAAATTAATTAAGCGAATCTCATTAATCGTCATTAAGTGACCTTGACTCTAACCATGAAAAATAAATCCTGAAATGAATTTAAAGTTAATATTGTTGGGAGTTATAATTTGAAAAAAAAAGGAATTTAAGTGAAGCTAACGAGACATTATATAAAAAATACTCTTACTTTGCTATTTTTAGTTCAACACATACCTTTCTCCAACTATGAGAACATAATGAATTAGTGTGATCACCATAAATTTAACGTTATAATCAATAAAATCAAAATGTGACCACACTATATTTTGGATCACATGGTCATAGTTGGAGAAAGGTATGTGTTGAACTAAAATCTCTGCTGGGTTTCTAGGGCGGGTTACTCTTTCGGATTATATATGTAAGGGTATGACAGCCCCACTATATATTTTTACCCCTCGAATTAATAGAAGCTTTTATAAAAAAAAACAGTGAGTCGTGTTCATTATCAAGGTTTGAACCTTTACGTAGGAAAAAGAGAAGTAAACTTTGGGTCAAATCTAAAAGATTGGAGGTTCAAAACTTTACCCTTTGGATTTTGAGACACATAAGTAACGACGTATTTACAAATTCGAACTTTAAAATATAAACATAATTGTTTTGTAAATTTATAAAGATGGGTTGTAATAATTATGAGGGATGAATCATATTGTCTTTTGTAATGTTATTATCCAAAGACCATCTTTGGATTGTGGTTGTGTGATTTGGCCGATGAGTTTCAATAAGGGAGAAGTAAATTGTTGATCCAATCAATTTTATATTTTATTACATCTTTTTTTTTTCCTTTTTTATCAGCATTTTTTAGACTAATTATATGTTTTGTTAATATAAAAATCACCTAGAGTGGGCATTATATCAAAAATACACTTAATTTGCTATTTCTACTTCAAGACCTACCCTGTTCACATGTGACCAATGTGACCGAAATATAGTATGGTCACATTTTGATTTTTATCGATTATAACGTTAAATTTATGGTGATCACACTAATTCATTATGTTCATACCTTGTATATCTTACTAATCATTTGATTAAAACATCATAAATTTAACGTTATGAACAATAGGATCAATATGTGACCACACTATATTTCGGTCATATTGGTCACATGCTCACAAGGGTAGAGCTTGAAGTAGATATAGCAAATTAAGGGTATTTTTGATAATGACCCAGAGTGGGCACAATATCATTAAAAATTAAGATATGATCTTTTAATTTATTTTTTTCTTAAAAAAACTTTTTACAAGAAAAAAAATCAATGGGTAGAAAGTTCAATTCTAGGTTTCTATTCCAAATTGTTGGCAATTAGAGTATGTCAAATCGATATTTAGGACAAAATTATATATTTGACTAATTAAAAATTCTATAAAAAAGTCTCAACAAAATTATATCAATATTTAATGAAACTTATATTAGACAACCATTCCTAATTTAATTTTTAACAAAATAAAATAAAAAACGTCAATAGATATAATTGGTGCAACAGTGCAACATATGTATATTCTTTTAAAAAAATTAAAATGACTATGTTATTTTTTAAAAGATATTAGAAATCATTTTAGTTGAAGTATGCATATTTTATTTTTTGAAATTCTGATTTATATTCTTAAATTTAAATGATTTTTTTTACTGAAGATATTTTTTGTTTTCAAAGATAGATTATGAACCGGTTCTATGTTTATACTTTCGTAGGAAATAATATATAATTAAGGTTGAAATATGAAATATCTAAGATGAAAAAATCTAATATCTCGATAAAAGAATTCCACTTTTCGCAAATCGAGGGATACATAAATTATATGACTATCAATTATATGCAAGTATAATTGTAAACAAAAATATAAATTTAGTTGGTATTAGGAATCCAAAAATAACACAATTAATTAATAAATATTTTACAATAAAGACTAATATAATGTTAAACTTATATAAACCAAAATAACATATATAATCTCACCGAGTGTTATTTTGCAAATTTTTCAAACACTTATCGATTATATTTTGAATTGTATACTCCGAGTGAAAGGTTATACGAGACATTTTATTTGAAACTCCAACTCCTGTCATCCATAATAAATTGACAGATTTTACCAAAAGTTTTTTTATTTAGTTTTCACATATTCCGAAACCCAAGAATTATCATTTAATACTCTATTTTTTTTAGTAAAAACGAACAATGTTAAAAATAAAAAGGTTAATAAAAAATAGAATTAGTCAATATATATTTGATTAAAAATTTGGAAAATACAAAATTTAGGTTGGAAACTCTATGCGGAGAATCGATGCAGGATACAAATGTATATAATTTATATTAACATATAAATATATTAATTTGTCCAATCAATCTAATCCTTATTTTCTTCATCTTTTTTTATTTTACAATATGAAACTTTTTTATCTTTTTTTTTAAACGTTAAAAAATAATAGTTCATTTTTTTTAAATTTCTTTCTAAAAATATTATTCTAACTCTTAATATTTTTCTGATAACAAGGTATGCTGGGTCGAGTTCAAACTAATCTCAGGTCTGGGAGCAAGTCATGTGATTAGAATATGCAGTCTTCTCCCCAACTTGAAGTCCGGAGTCGGGATCAGATAGACGCTTTGCATCCCTTTCACCAGTTGAGCTTATCAAAAATATAAATATAGACGTTATTAACAATCATTTTTGGAAAATAAAAAATACTACTACCTCAATATTTTTAAAAACTATTTATTATTTTGATTTAAGATATGAATTATAAAAATATAATATATTTAATTTTAAACTAATAATATTTTTTAAAAAAATTTTGTTGTTCGCGCAATTCGCGCGGGGTTAAAACCTAGTATTCTATAATTTTGGAGTATGGATTTTATGATGATTTTTCCAAATGCTTTTAATACATCCTTTCCTCTGTAAATATGTCAAGATTATTTTTCCTTTTATTATATAAAAAGTTTAAACTAAAATTTTAACCAATATGATTTTGGGTTGAACAGTAAGATAAAAATAAAAATATCTAATATATTTATAAAATCGATTATCATTTTCTCACTCCCGAAGAAAAAATGAAATAAAAGTGTTATTTACAAAAATTAAATAAATAGTGTAGGAATTAAACGGAAATTGAACCATACCTATTACAATTATTGTAGCATGAACTTCTTATGATATAATTGATCTCTCTGTATATTGCAAACGCCATCGTCGTTAAGAAAATCCTACAAATATGAAGAGAAATTGAATTAGGAAAATAAATTAAAAAAATTATTATACCTTACCTAATCAAATATTTAAAAAAAAAATTAATTAAGCGAATCTCATTAATCGTCATTAAGTGACCTTGACTCTAACCATGAAAAATAAATCCTGAAATGAATTTAAAGTTAATATTGTTGGGAGTTATAATTTGAAAAAAAAAGGAATTTAAGTGAAGCTAACGAGACATTATATAAAAAATACTCTTACTTTGCTATTTTTAGTTCAACACATACCTTTCTCCAACTATGACCATGTGATCCAAAATATAGTGTGGTCACATTTTGATTTTATTGATTATAACGTTAAATTTATGGTGATCACACTAATTCATTATGTTCATACCTTGTATATTGTACTAATAATTTGATTAAAATATCATAAATTTAACGTTACGAGCAATATATTTTAGGTCAAATGGTTACAACTAAAGAACGGTATGTGTTGAAGTCAAAATAGCAAAATAATAATATTTTTGATAATGACCCAACTAATGATCTAGAATAAACAAATATTTCCGGACCGAACTATACATTAAGAAAATTGTTTTCCTTATTTTTCTAATAATTTAAATGGTGAATTCAATTGATAAAGATGGATAACTCACTTTGTTTGTTCATGAAATAAATACAGGATTAGAAAATATCATACTAATCGGTATTCTAAACCAAGACCAAAACTAATCACGGGACCGGGAGTCAAAACTAATCAAGGGATCGGGAATTAGAATACTAATCAAGATGTTAAGGCATGAATTATATCTACACAAGACGTGTCAACCATCTAACTGCGCCAACCAACATAATTTGTGAAATAAACCAAGATTTGACTTCGTATGTATATATATAATGTCATTTGTGAGATTGCCACAACCGATATTCTTTAGCTTCACATTTGTGGGAAATATACAGTCACAATTCGATGGATGCTTATCAAAATCTACACGTTCCAAGTTACATAAGGGACGACAACCTCAGTGAAGAATGCAAGAATCTGATCTCTTCCCTTCCAAAGGACAAGGATCTCATGGGAATCACTCTCTGCAACTACAAAGGCTTTTGGTACTATCCCAACACACTTCAAGCTATTCTTGACGTCGAGAAAAACTTTCGTCCTCGGGACACCGACATAATCGTAGCCTCCTTCCCCAAATCGGGCACGACTTGGCTCAAGGCCCTAGTTTTTGCACTTGTCCAAAGAGGTAAATACCGTGCAAACCCTAAAGGCCATCCTCTTCTGCACGAAAATCCTCATGACCTTGTACCCTTCGTGGATATTGATCTATATTACAACGGGCAGATCCCGGATCTAACTAAATTTCCAAACCATAGTCTCTTCGGAACCCACATGCCAATGAGTCTATTGCTCGAAACAGTGAAGGGGGTTTCTTGCAAAATCGTGTATATTTGTAGGAATATGAAAGATGTGATGGTGTCAAACTGGCGTTTCAGAGGAATGTTGCACCACAAAGACATGCATGGTGACACTCTCGACGCAATGTTCGATTCATATCGTAGAGGAGTTCACTTCTATGGACCCTTTTGGGACAATGTCTTGGGCTATTGGAAACAAAGTCTAGAAAATCCAAAGCAAGTGCTTTTCATGAGGTATGAGGAAATAAAAGAGAACCCTAAAGCGCAGTTGAAGAGATTGGCCGAGTTCTTGGGTTGTCCATTCTCGGAGGAAGAAGAGGAGAGTGGAACAATGGACGAGATCTTAGAGTTGTGCAGTCTGCGTAACTTGAGAGATCTAGAGGCCAACAGACACGGGAAAAAAACACGTTTCGATGCAGATTGCAGTGTGTTTTTTCGGAAAGGAGAAGCGGGAGACTGGAAGAATCATCTCACTCATGACATGGGGAGAGAACTCGACGAGATCGTTAAAGAGAAACTGCAAGGTTCAGGTTTGAAGTTTTAGTAACTTGTGTGGTTAATTACATTAATCATACTTCTCGTCATGTTGCTTCGAAACCTTTTAAATAAACTATCATTCTCTATGTAATGATGAAAGTATCATGTATTAACATATTAAAGTAATGAAATACGTTTGATGTATTGATAGTAGGGGTGGGCGTTTCGGGTTTCGGTTCGGTATTCAAGCGGTTCGGTTCGGGAACGGTATTTTCGGTTTTATAAAAAGTGTACCAAACTAGAACCGAATGTTAAACGGTTCAGTTCAGTTCGGTTTTAGTATCGGTTCGGTTCGGAACGGTACCATTATATGAATACCAAATAAGTACCGAACTATACTATTTACACATATATTAGTGGAATATTGGAATTTTGGTTCGGTATTCATACGGTTCGGTTCGGGAACGGTTCATTCGGTTCCATAAAAAGTGTATCAAATTAGAACCAAACGTTATTCGGTTCGGTTCGGTATGGTTCGGTTTCGGGACGGATCGGGTCGGTACTAAATTCCCGAACCGAAGTGCCCACCCCTAATTGATAGTTTCATATCATGTAATGAAAGTATTGTTGAAAGGAATATACTTTGGACGCACCTAATTACCTCTCGGTGGAAAATGGCCTTGGAAGAAGAAGAAACGGGTTGGAACTTTGTCACTCAAGCCCACTTGGAAGCACACCTTCTCTTGCTACACGGGCCTCTTCACTTTAGCCTACTTAGGCCTATGGTACACTTCAAGGCCCAAATCTTCTCTTCTTCTCCATGTTATGCAGAAGCCCACTCCCTTAATACATTACACAAAATCTGGACTAATGATATGAAGACTACGTTCTAACGGCTAGATATTTCCATTTGTCTTTATGTTAGTTTCCTTTTCATATTTTGACAGATTTCCTTCTCCTATGTAATCTGATTTTTCTTTTCTTCTTTTGTTAGATTTTTGTGTATATATTTGCACGTAAGCGTTGTAAAGAAATAAGAAGAACAAAAGGGACTTAGTCCTATTTCACTCTTTATTATTCTATTTTTCTTCTTCACCATCAACCATATTTCTTTGTGTTTCTTCATACTCAAACACATCAAAATACTAAGAAATCTTCATGGTATCAAAGCATTAAGGTCTTTGGACCCCTCTGAATATCGACTTTTTTTTTTTGCTTCTACAACCAAACATAAAGACTCCAATGGAGTTTCATATGCCAAAAAGAGATACAATAATTCTGCAAATTAGAGTTTGAAAGACTGATAAAAGAAGAGAAACAAGTAAGTTAACAGAAACTGAGTATTACAACAATATGTACTATGGTTTTTGTGCTAAGGATTCGCAGAGGATAGAAGAAGAAGCCTTGAATGTTCAACAAGATGATGGAGACAAGGTGATGCACTCCAATGATGACCAATCAATCACTAAAGAAATAATCCTCGAAGACATCAATCCAAGTATCACAAACCAAATGAAATCGGATAATATAGATAAGGAAGAAATCGTTATTCCACAATCTGAATCTGAGGAAGGGACAAAACATGGAGATTTGGTGGAAGACTTCCATGAGGACAAGGATTCCCAAAGTGAAGCAAGAACCACAAATACCATACTCCTTTCCGTCCAATCTAGGTTATCTCTACGCCCATTTCCTTTTAAATTTAAATATGATTTTTTTTTTGTCTTTGAGTTTGTTTGGACAGAAGATATCCCAAAAATATTACAAGAATGTTTCTAGGTTTCTCTCTTTCGACCATGACACCTTTGGAGCATCTCGACGAGGGGAAATATTTGGTGAGAAAAGTTTGCCAAAGAAACATGGATTTTTTACCTATGAGTTATGACAACTCTAGACTCGGTACCTGTAATGACTCGAGGTCACTACGGAATGATAGAGCTGTCCCCACACATCAACACGGGACCTTTTAGCGTGTTTTGTCATCATTCGCACACATCCCGAAAAGTACTTCACAGGAGGTCACCCATCCTAAGACTACTCCAAGGCCAGAACACTTAACTTTGGAGTTCTCTCGAGATGGGTAACCGAAAAGGTAGATGCATCTTGTTGCTATGAGTAGCTCAGTTAATTCCTTTTAAGTTATCTTATACTGTGTAGTCCCATACCTACACAACCCTCGAATCCCTCTCATTCTGGTGTGTCCAATTCATCCCTGTACTCCCTACCCAGAAGCTCGTCACGAGCCGCCCATTGTCCATGCCTCTCGTACCGGCGATCACTCCCCGCCTCCTATGGTATCCTGGATGTCACAGGCCCACCAGCTTCCGCCTGGTTCATCCTCGAACCACACCGTACTGGAAGAGTACCGACTCTGATACCATTTGTAACGACCCGATACCACTACAGAATGATAGAGCTGTCTCCACACATCAACACGGGACCTTTTAGCGTGTTTTGTCCTCACTCGCACACATCCCGGAAAGTACGTCCCAAGATGTCACCCATCCTAAGACTACTCCAAGGCAAACACGCTTAACTTTGGAGTTCTCTCGAGATGGGCAACCGAAAAGGTAGATGCATCTTGTTGCTATGAGTAGCTCAATTAATTCCTTTTAAGTTATCTTAGATTGTGTAGTCCCATACCTATACAGCCCTCGGATCCCTCTCATTCCGGTGTGTCTGATTCATCCCTGTACCCCTACTCAGAAACTCGTCAGGAGCCGCCCATTGTCCATGCCTCTCGCACCGGCGATCACTCCCCGCCCTCCTACGGTATCATTGACTGTCACAGTACCTCTTCCTGTCTCTTCACTTTTACTTTTTATTCTGGTCCATTTTTACATGTCTTTTTGATAAAAACATATATATATATATATATATATATATAAATGTGTGTGTGTATGTTTGGAATGCATTCGGATCTAATATTGTTATACTTACTTTGTTTTCATATGTTTTCTGCATCATATTTGTTTTTGAGCTAAACTTGCGATGTTTTAAGGATATTGTCCCACATAAAGTTCTGTTTTATTCAATATAAAATGGGAATGTCATCAGACTCTAATTCAGGAAGAAAATCTCCGAAAGATAATCATGTTACTTGCAGAAAAAGATTCCGACAACCATCATAGTGTGAACCATATTAGAATAGAATTCAATCACAAAGTCTACACGTATGAAACATTTAAAATAAAGTTAGGTTGTTTTACGACACTTTATCTTCTATTGTATGATTATAATCATGTCTTTGTTGCATTATGTTTCTGTTTTTGTATAAATCGGAGTGCATTGACCCCCCTTGTGTTCTTTGATGCGTTTATTAAGTTTTTATAGAACTTAAAAATCAATCTAAGGTTGCTTTGCATTCGTGAGGGGGAACCATGGAAGATAAAACAACAATGCATATGGATGGATCGTTGCAACTTGCAATCATGAAGGCATTCGCCTGTCAAGATTGGTTTTTTGATATTTTTCGGAATCAATGTTGAAGGGGATGTTGAAAGGAATATACTTTGGATGCACCTAATTATCTCTCGGTGGAAAATGGCCTTGGAAAAAGAAGGAACGGGTTGGAACTTTGTCACTCAAGCCCATTTGAAAGCACACCTTCTCTTGCTACATGTGCTTCTTCACTTTAGCCTACTTGGGTCTACGGTACACTTCAAGGTTCCACTCCCTTAATGCATTACACAAAATCTGGACTAATGATATGAAGACTACGTTCTAACGGCTAGATATTTCCATTTGTCTTTATGTTAGTTTCCTTTTCATATTTTGATAGATTTTCTTCTCCTATGTAATCTGACTTTCCTTTCCTTCTTTGTTAGATTTTTGTGTATATATCGTAAGCATTGTAAAGAAATAAGAAGAACAAAAGGGACTTAGTCGTATTTCACTCTTTATTATTCTATTTTTCTTCTTCAACATCAACCATATTTCCTTGTGTTTCTTCATACTCAAATACATCAAAATACTAAGAAAACTTCAAGTATCATGCATTTGATGCATGTTTCATGTAATGAAAAGTGTCATGTATTAACAAATGTAATGAAATAAGTATGATGTATTGATACTTTCATATGGTGCATCATGTAATGAAAAGTATCATATATGTTTAAAAAAAATGTGAGCAGTCGGCAAGAGTAAGAAATGTGTCTTTGATCTTGTTTTATAATTCATAATGGTTGGTTTTAGTTTGTATAATTCTAGTTTAGTTCTAATAATGGTTGGTTTTTGTAGGGTGAGCCAACAACACAAAAAATATTTTTATCAGTGAAACTCTTTATATATATATTACATTTTTGTATAGTTTATATAAATTCAAAAGATTTATGTAATTCCGGAAACAAAATCAACGGACGAATAAGAGACAAAAAAAATTCTACATCAAGCCAATGGAATTGCTTTCCCTCAAGGAAACACCTTTGCATGTGATCTCCTCTCGGGGTTTTTATTAGACTTTGGCCTCCGTGGATTTTTCTTTTTTTATTAATGGAATGTGATTGAATTATTATACCAAAAAAAAGTGTTTAGAACATTTACAAAAAGTTACCCATCAGTGGGTGGCCGAGTGGCAAAAATGTGTTGCTCTTTGGACTCTGGTCGCTAGTTCGAAATCAGCTGATAGGGAGGGAGGGGGTATTTATCTGCTGAATGGGTGTTGCTCTCTGGGCCCTTGTCGCAGGTCTTCTAAAGGCTGTTCCCGGACCTAGGGTGGATGTAATCGGGTCGAAGGCTCGGAGAACCATCCTGGTTAACAAAAAAAAACATTTACAAAAAGTTAGAGGCAACTCTAAACCAAGGTAATAAAAAAAACAAACTCTAAACCAAGGTAATCACTTGAGCAAGCGGGCCAAAATAAATCTTAAGCTAGTTAATACGATACCATTGGTGGATCAATTCATTCATGTAAGCTACTCCCGGTTTGTGTAAGGAGATGAGAGTGTTCCTCATAATAGCAACTTACTATATTGACGGGATTTGATTTTAAATCTGATTTGTATATTTCCTTATTCTCCTAACAACATTGTATACATATATCCTTGTAACGGGTGTGTCCCGGGCTTGGACGATGTCTTTGATCGTTTTGTACTCGTCACTAAGGCTACCAAGAATAAGATCTACGAGATCCTCGTGATCCATGGGTTTGCCGAGGAGTGCAAGTTCGTCGGCTTTTACCTTGAAGAAATTCATGTATTCGTCAACAGATCTTGCTCCCTTTGTGTAGCGGCGCATGTGATCCTTGATGAGTTTGACATGTCCTTGACTTGAACGACCATATGTCTGGAGAAGCGTTGTCCGTGCAGTAGCGGAGGTTGTGGCGGATGCCACAAGTGCTTGGCATTCGGCAGAGATTGAGCCGAGTAGTGCAGAGAAGACCAGGCGGTCTTGACAGAACCACGGCTTGTACGCCGGATTCGGAGAGGAGACATTGTTGGCAATGATTGAGACAGCAGGAGCTTGTGTCGGGTCGAGAAAGCCATCGAGATCATATCCTTGGAGAAGAGCACGAATCTTAATGCTCCAAGTTAGATAGTTTGTAGCTGTGAGTTTTGCCATGTTGGTGACGTTGACATTAATCAACGGACTGTCGGAGCTGTAGGGGGTAACCGTGTCGGTGGGTAGACCAGTTGCACTGGAGGATGCGTTGGCGGCAGCCATGGCGACGGCAGATCGACGAAGAGAAGAGATGGTGGCGCCGGAATCGAATTAGTGTCGTGTGACGATGGGCTCTGATACCATAAACGAGTTTAGGTTTTTGGAAAAATATTCGCATATCATTTCAGAAGGATTTACAAGGATATATTTATACAATGCTGTTAGGAGAATAAGGAAATATACAAATCAGATTTAAAATCAAATCCCGTCAATATAGTAAGTTGCTATTACCTCATTGTGCGATCCACTTTGAGGATGAGTTGAGTTGTTGACTTTCTTTTTCGATGTATCCGGGCAATTCGTTACATCCAAATGCTGTAAGACACCGCTTGTGAACATGGGTGGATCTACTTACACATAAGTGGGGGCACATGCCCCCATTCACATTTAAAAAAAAGAAATATTACTTATAGTTTTAATTAAATTATAACAATACCCCACTAAAAATTAAGTGGTGCCCCCTCATTTTTTTAACACTAAATCTTTTTTTCAATTTTTTCTTCTACCAATTTCACATTCTCCTTCATTTTTTTAAATTCTTTGCCAACTCCAAATTAATTCTGTTTAATCTTTTATCAAATAAAAAAATAAAAATCCAATAATAATCAAATCCAAGAAACTAAAACCAACAAAAATATGTAAGTATTCTGGATTTTATTTTAAATAATTTTTTTATCTTTTATTCATTTGTTTCTAAATATTTATCATATTAATAAATTTGTTTTTATACAAATCTCATAATTGATTTAATAGAGAAATCTATTGAGAAATTTCTCAAAAAAAAATTTACAGTGTCAAAAATTTAATGATCTATTTAACAGAATAAATTCAAAATTGCTCACTTATATGACAATTTTTAATCATGTTAAAATAACTTTGCGTAGTCGGATTGGTGATCAGCCTTTGAGTGATTTTCTAATTTGTTTTATCGAAAAAAATATGTTTGAGATAATTATAAATGAAGTTGTTATGGATAGATTTTAAAAAAATGAAAGGTCGGAGAATTTAGCTATAGAATGAAAAATATTTTTCTGATAATATATTTTTATTAGTTTTTTATATTTTATATAATATTTATAATTGTTGCCCCTATTGAAAAAAATTTCTAGATCCTCCATTGCTTGTGAAATAAGTTTTCTTAGAGTGACTAGGTTTTTTCCCCTGGAAGGCTGACCCAATCCAGACTGGTCGTAATGTGTTGCTGGTAATTTCCTTCTAGCCGCGTCGCAAAATGATTCCACATGGTCGAGTTGTAGGTACACTCAAAGAACATGTAAGAATGACTTTCAGACTCACTGCAACATAAGACGCACCTGTTAGATGCCTGTATTCCCTACTTAGAAAGTTTATCCATGGTTGGCAACCTCTCTTATTTGCCATATGACAAACACGTGTCTTGCTACTGCTTGGCTCGGCCATGTCAGTTTGTAGCCAAGAAATGCAGGTCCCGGTGTCCTGATCATCTCCCATGTTCCCCTCGAAGTGAAAGTGTCCTTGTCATTGAAGATTTTTATGATTTGTGATGATTTTTAGAACGAGTAAAAGAATAAAATGTTGGAAGTTTTTATTAACTTCCCATTATGTTAATGGTCTAACATTTCCTCCATGTTATGTTAACTGCATGATAACCACCCCAATAGCAGTTTTTTCTGATGGAGAAAAAACAATAAATAGGGGTAACGTATTTGGTCCCTAAGCCAAACAAAACAGATAGATATACACCATCAGTATTGTATTGCTAAAGGTTTAGAAGCACCAAATATTCAGATTTCAACTCAACCATTTTCAATGGCTGGAGGTATGTGTTCGATTCAGAATTTATTTCCGCATACATGATCTGATGTATTAAAATGTTTACATAGAAGATCATGATTTAAGATGAGTTTAAAGAATTTTTTAAACTTACATTTGGTATCAGAGCTGGTTTATCCTCTGCTTTGAATATAATTTTGGTTATGAAATCTGAAATGTTACAGAAAATCTAACTTATTCGATGTATTTCTGAATTTTGAAATCAAAATTTATTTGTTTGTGAAATACATCGTTGAATCTGTGCATAAGTTTTTAAGAAGAAAAAAAAAACTCTGTATTACCTCCATGTTTTGTTTTTGTGATTTTGGTATCTGCCTTTGTTGTAACTGTCTCCAAAGGATTCTGGTTCACATTGGTGACTGGATCTTCAGAATAAAGTCACGGAGACCATTGTCGGCAATGATCGTGTCCATGATGAAGCCAACCGACGGAGCTTGTTGATCCATACCCTCTCGGATTAGGGTTTTGGAGAGCACCGTCGACTTGGTGGATGTGGTGATTACGAAACTGTCATAATTCCTCTGTTCCCAGTTTGGTGTAAGCGACGGTATTTTTGAAAGCAATTTCGGTTGTCGTTTAAAAAAAAAAAAAGGAAAGAAGGGGATAGAGGAAGAAGACGGGGCCGAACGGCCGAACAGGAGATAATGCGCAAAAACAAAAATTTTAGGGTTTCTTTCGTTGTGTAATATTAGAGTAATAAATATAAATAATCTGCATAAAGTGGATTCGATCCCGAAAACGCATGCATGTGCACAAAGCCACTAGGCTAAGAAGCTATTTTATATTATTGTTTCATTGATAGTATTAGTACTATAAATTGAATAAATAAGGCAAAAGAGTATGGGGTTAGGTTCGAACCCAGAACCTTGGCATAATGTATGGAAAGGCACAGCCACTGGGCTAAGCCTGTTTCTCAATATTACATTGTCTTTATTTAATATATGTCTTGTGATCTGTATAATTTATCCTAATTAGAATTTTGCCACAGCATCTCTAATTAGAATAAAATTATACATAAATTTTGATTTTGGATCATATTTAGTTAAAGACATTGATTGTAATTAATCACATTGATATAATAAAATTTATCCCACATGAAATTTTATTATATTTATGTAATTAATTAGGGTGAAAAGTCGATTATATTTCTTGATTTACCCACAGAATGGTGTAGCAGAAAGGAGAAACCGAACATTATTGGACATGGTGCGGAGTATGTTATCATACTCTAAACTTCCTAAGTCCTTGTGGAATGAAGCTCTTAAAACGGCGGTGTACATATTAAACCGAGTTCCATCCAAGGCTGTCTCAAAGACACCTTTCGAGTTGTTTAAAGGTTGGAAACCGAGTTTGCGACATGTACCGTTTGGGGATGTCCGTCTGAAGTAAGAGTTTATAACCCACAAGAGAAAAAGTTAGACCCAAGGACCATTAGTGGGTATTTCATTGGATATGCCGAAAGTCTAAGGGATACAGATTTTATTGTCCATCTCACAGTACACGGATTGTGGAGTCAAGAAATGCAAAATTTCTTGAGAATGACTTGAATAGTGGGAGTGACAGATCATTAGGAGAAAGATCTGAGAGTGATCACTCTATTTCACAACCTTCTACTTCAAGTCACCTTCGAACTGTTGTCGTTCGTCGCACTTATCCAGCTCCAGTGCGTGTTGTTGAACAACCAGTTCCCGAACCTCCACAAGCTGATGATCCGGTAGATCATGTTCAACAAATGCCTGAAATTGTTGAACCGGTTGTACAACATGATCCTCAGGAAAATGTTGAATCAACATTGAGACGATCTAGTAGAGTACGGAAATCAGCAATTCTGGATGACTATATGGTGTATCTACAAGAGTGTGAATATAATGTTGGAGCCGAAAATGATCCTGAAACGTTTTCACAAGCCATGAGTTGTAAGGAATCTGACTTATGGTATAGTGCCATGAAAGATGAGATGGATTCGATGGCATCGAATGAAGTCTGGGATCTTGTCGAGTTGCCTAATGGTGTAAAAGCCATTGGTTGTAAATGGGTCTTCAAAACCAAGAAAGACTCATTGGGCAACATCGAAAGATATAAAGCAAGACTCGTAGCCAAAGGATTCACTCAGAAAGAAGGAATCGATTACAATGAGACTTTTTCTCTTGTATCAAAGAAAGATTCTTTTCGTGTGATCATGGCATTAGTTGCCCATTTTGATATGGATTTACATCAAATGGATGTGAAAACGGCGTTCCTCAATGGTGAACTGGAGGAAGAGGTTTACATGAAACAACCTGAAGGATTCTCCTCTAGTAGTGGTGAGCATTTGGTTTGCAAACTTAAGAGATCCATATATGGATTGAAACAAGCTTCCCGTCAGTGGTATTTGAAGTTTCATGGTGTCATTTCTTCATTTGGTTTCGAAGAAAATACCATGGATAACTGCATATACCAGAAGGTTAGTGGGAGTAAGATTTGTTTCCTTATTCTATATGTGGATGACATTTTACTTGTAACCAATGACAAAGGGTTGTTGTATGAGGTGAAACAATTTCTCTCTAAGAATTTTGATATGAAGGATATGGGTGAGGCATCTTATGTCATCGGCATTAAGATCCATAGAGATAGATCTAGATGTATTCTAGGTTTGTCTCAGGAGACCTATATCAATAAAGTCTTGGAGAGGTTTCGGATGAAAGATTGTTCACCGAGTCCAGCACCTATTGTGAAGGGTGATAGGTTCAATTTGAATCAATGCCCGAAAAATGAGCTCGAACGGGAACAAATGAAGAACATTCCATATGCTTCTGCAGTTGGAAGTCTTATGTATGCTCAGGTTTGCACAAGACCTGACATTGCATTTGTCGTGGAAATGTTAGGGAGATATCAGAGTAATCCAGGTTTGGACCCTGGAAAGCTGCAAAGAAGGTGATGAGGTACCTACAAGGTACGAGGGATCACATGCTTATGTATAGACGGACGAACGATTTAGAGGTCACTGGTTACTCAGATTCAAACTTTGCTGGCTGTGTTGACTCACGTAAGTCGACTTCTGGATATGTATTTATGCTTGTCGGTGGAGCTGTATCATGGAGGAGTGGCAAGCAGACATTGACCGCTACTTCCACTATGGAAGCTGAGTTCGTTTCATGTTTCGAGGCAACGTCGCATGGTGTATGGTTGAAGAGTTTCATATCCGG